CCCCCCCCCCCAAATCATCGGTGAACGAAACTGCGGGAGCTACAACCAGTGTACAACGAGTGCGCGGTTCTTGCAGCTGACAATGATGATGATGATGATGGTGATGAAGTCATGGTGTGTAGTGTTGCAAGTGCATTTACTTTGGCACGAATCGTTTGAGCATTCATGTGCGCTGACTGCTATAGGAATACGTGGCGGAACATCCTTATCACGACAAATACACTCATTTGCATATCAACTGGGTTTTCACGGGAGACTCGACTGAATCTCTCGTTTATGGTTTTCTACAACTGAATGTGCTGTACAAGGACTGCCTCATGTTTCAGTTGGCACGATATTAAAGATGTTGCAGTATATTTGCATAAAGGAAACATACCAGGTTGCTCAAAACCCTTCGACAGCCAACGACCGGTTTCGCACTTCTTGGGGCTCATCAGGTAGGTGCAGTCCCCGATTTTCTGTCAACTTTATGTTTTACTTGAATCCAAATCATATAGATCTCGACAAATACACTCATTTGCACAAGCACAAGTTTCCTTACTGGGTCCACTCCAATCGTTTCCCATTTGTGAAGACTGTTGTACCCATACCCCTCCATCTTATTTTGGTAATTGGTTTGTTTGTTGAGCTGAGCAATTTGCAAACGTTTCATCACCAATCGAGGTGACATTATCAGTGCGTTGTTGGGGAGCGTAGCGATGGGTTGGTGGTTGTACCAAACACCAAGTCAAGCTCAGCGAACAAGACAGCTACCAACTACGCCACCTGAGCTACCAACAGAAAACATCTAATTTTGGTAGCCAGTCGATCCAGCCCATCAAGAACGACATCTGATAGTCAGAAGGTTAGATAAGCCAGTCTTACTTATCAGTGAGGGTGGGTCATCACCCGCTCGTTCGAGCGCAGCAATAAGCATGAATGAGCCCGTTTAGCCAACCCAGGCACTCCCACCTTAGCTGAACATGGGCACGTATTTCTATTTCCAATAGCGTAAAAAGCTGTTTGTCGTGGCGACCACATAGGACGAAGTTATTCTCCAAATATGAATTATGCCTTGGGTAATTCATGTAGCTTTGGACGCGCTACATTGTACTTGGGCACGCAGACTAGATGCGCTCGCGGTGCATTTCAGCATCTTACTGATACCTAACTTAAATATGAGTCGTTCGTATACTCATGCCATTGTCGACCTCTATATGTAACACTCGTCCCAAAGTTTTGGAGCTGCTAAGGTCGCACTGGAAGTTCGACCTATATTTTCTACAGTGACCAATATGAAAACTACTGAATAACTCCGGAAACGTTATTTTGGTTACGCAGGGAGCCTTTAGTATACTCAGCTGAATTACAGCTGAAAGATCCAAACGAAATTTGGTGGCGGGCTTACCCGTGGACGAATCACACATTCATGAGAAACTACACGCCCACGAACGCCAAAAAAATTGTCAAAATATAAGTTCGTTCTCGAGTTATGGTTGCAAATAACAAAATCTCATTTAGCTCCACAGCAAGAAGGACACAAATGAAGCGCTCGATGATCTGACCGCTGGACGGTGAAGCTACGAGTGTATACTAAATATGCGTTACACTCAGCGTGAAAGTCAGTCGTGGTTTTCCAATTACAATTTCGGCTTGCTTATAGTCAAATCAGGCCAATCCAGCAAGTCCAACGATGAAGCACAAGAGCGGGTTACTGTTCGAAACACCACTGAAAAAGACAAAATGTTGAACGGGAGCCTACCCAGAAGAAGTAAGTGGCCGTTTTTGGTGACCACGAGCTTCATAGAATTGATCCAAATGTTTCTTCAAACGTCTTGTTAAGCATTCTTTTTCTCGTGCGACGTACTGACTTAGGTAGTTGGCGAACAGTTCTCGGAACAATCTGGACAGTTGTGATGGGTCCGTGACCAGAGTAAGCCGATCGCACAGTGCCTTCATCAACTTATCCATGCTGTTGAACAGAGGAACGGGAAAGGTGAGAAGATAAAGGCAAAAAATAAACCATACTGACAATTGGCATTCGGTGAATGCTGCGTTCCCATCAATTACCAAAAGATGGAGATACAGAACTCAACCCCTAACATGTACACAAAGGTGGCCTGAATGTCTGGGAATTCGAAACGGCATATGTTAGATACGGTAGTCCTCCCCCCAATAGGATCACTTTAGTTCATACTCGTGGGATCTGACTTAGAAATGGCAGCTTCACCAACCTGTGTCCCAAGAAACAAATCTTGCTTAAATTGAAGATCAAGATGCAAGGCTCGCGGGCGGAGATTTTTTATATTCCGGTACCAAGTACTCCACTAAACATCTTAGTGGAGTAGATGTCTTGCGAAGCTAGTAAAGCAGTCACCGCTACCCAAAGAAAATGCTTAAATGAACCACGTAGTTGCTGCCAGATACGGTCCAGTTCCTTCAGACTACGTATCATATCGGAAACAATGATTCATTTCACAGTCAACGGACTACAAAAGTGAAGTCAGTTTGGAGGGCGAATTGGTATTGGAATATGATTTTAGAGCCATTTTAAGTTGCATTGTAGTAGACAGCGCTCATAGATGAAGGACTGACCAACGGGCCTTCTGCGTTGCTTGCGAAGGTGTTAATGTCAAGTGGGTTGCGTCACACAATTAAGGGACTGACTTGACAAAAGCAAATCGGATTTGATGCCTACTATCTACTACTTCCTGTAATTGGCTTCAAAATGTTATTCCTGTTTTGAGCGTTTAAGAGCCTAAGTAGATCTAATGTGTCCGGAAGGCTGTTCAACTATTTTGGCTGCTAAACAGTAAGAACTTGGGAGAACATATTAAACGTCTCAGCCAGATTGGTTAGGTTTCCATGTTGATTAAGTTAGTGGCAATCGGTGTGGGTCAACTTGACAGCCCTGTCTGGTTTCGCAACATGAGAGAGGTTTAAAGCATGACATCTATCATCCTGAATTGCGACCGCCTTGGACAACTACGTAGCGAGTACCATTTCTATTCAACATGTCACTGTCGTCAGATGTGAAGTAGTTTCTGAGAGGATTTGCCAGGAAACCCTCTCGAACATCGAAACCGACCGTTAGTTATGGGAAAACGAGTGTCGCGTCCCCACAGACGTGTGTAGAGTAAAAAAGGTACATCTGACTGAATGTTAGACACACAAAGGCGCTCTCTTCTTGGAACGGGGCATCAAACAAGTAGCCAGTTCTGAGATAACTGAATCACTGAAGTATCATTTCGCATATCTGAAGAGCTTTTTCCACAAATACGTTCTTACCCCGGCTAATGGTAAAATAAATAAAAGAGGCCAGCCGCATCATCAAGCAGTACTTGTTCGACGTAACACTTAAGTTGTCCTAAACAGCTTCACTTGTTCTTCGTGCCATTGTTTGTTGGCCGGTATGTTATATATACACAATTTAGGCCTCGATTCAGTTTAACTGAGTACTCACTCCACTATATTTCTACAGGCTAGCTCGTTATTTTCGCGAGTTCAAGTGTTCATTCATGGTTGCTGCACAGCATAATTCATCGAGCTGATTTGGTTTGGATTTATGAATCCAGAACAACTGAAAAAAACAGGCCGGTTGAAGCAAAGCAAGAAACTTAGCCGGGACAATTAGAAGGGCTGTGGTTAAACCGTGAGGTGAGGAAAACAACGTAGTCTGATTGCTTGCCAATCGAGTATGGAAACCAATATAAATATTCAACGCAACGTAAACCAAAGGAGCAAGAGAGTGAGTGGAACTTACTTCTGGTATTCCGTGTACAGATTGATCAAATACATCTCAGAGCTCATGTCCGACCGGATACGCTCATCCATGTGAGGCTGAAATGAACATAGAAACCATGTTTTCTTGAAAATCCATTGGATTGCAACAACCAAGTGCCGTGTTATCTAGGAACCTGAAGACTGACGAAAATATCAGCGTTCATTGGCGCTATTTAGCTGTCTCATCCACACACACAAGCAAGCGTGCCTAACTGGACAAAAATGTGGACATATATTTGTCTACTTTTAGAATCTGTATGATTCAATAGCTGACACTGAACTTCGTTTATCATCATCAATACGAAGAGTCAACATTGGAGCTTAACTCACAGAACACTTACAAGATTAGAAACAAAATTACACGGAGGAGGTTCTAAGGTTCTAGACGAACCGACCAAGGGTAAGCAATGAGGCAGAAACACCCGAACGGCATGTTGGATGCAACATGACAATACCATGATAGCCTCTTTGGAGCCCCTTATCCCTACCGACCGCAGCCAACAACACGGTGCACAGACAGCATTCAAGCTTTGGGTAAACTATCCACCAAAAAATACCACTACTGAAGCGAAACTTCACACGGAGCCGTTAGCTGATACTTGGTCGTGTATTTTAGTTAATCTTCTTGCTGGAAACCTACTGCAACCAAGTCACACTGGAAAAAGTATTTCTTTAAATAATGGATTTTTGGCCTCACAGAAGCCGAAGTCTTCCCATAACAGTGGTACAAACTAAGCTCAAGCTATATAAGAACCCTGGCTACCTGTACTGTTGAAATGAATCGACTGGCCTGATTACATAGTTATCATCTAAAATGTTGTCCTTCATAGGAATTTAGCACTCATTTTGACTGGTGCGGAATTAGTCCAGACCCACGTACTGAACTGGCAAGGGTGTATATACAACTTAGCCTAATGGCCCCGTTGGTCAGACGATAAAGAAATAACTGTTGAACTGACAAGTGCTAGCAGTAAAATTTCGTTACACACTTTGTTAGTTACACGTGACTTGAAGTGGAAAAATATAGCTACGCGGTACGACAAGATAGACTGACTGAAGTATATGTTGAACCCAATCTGATACACTCTGAAAGATAATAATTTAAACTCAGGTTCCCTGGCGTGAAGAGGTCACAAAAAGCCTTCGGTGCACACAATTGGTAAAGTGTACGTCCACATACGGATGGATAATCCCGCAAGAACGTGCAATCCACCTCCACGTGCACACCGGTGGTTAACGGTTTATGTGCATTTTTTGGGTGGATACTGAAGGATAAGTAGTTACGGCATGCCCTCTCCCTCCGGACAGACTGGAAGATATGCCATACAGTTTCCAAGAGGCAGTGCGTTGGCCGAAGGCAGGAAAGCAAAAATCTCAGTTGGATATTCTCCTGGCCGACAAAGTTCATGTGTCAAATAACTCGTAAATGATTACACGGAATACACTGTTTTGAGGTATATCCCAATCAACTGCAACCAGATCGTTAAGCCACACACAATAGGGGTTTCATCATATATTAAACAACAGGGTTCACAATGACATGCTCTGTCAAGCTCGAAGTTGCTTAGTCCTTACCTTCAGTTTGTACGTAAATAAAGAGTTGATAAGCTGCATCAAGGTCGCCTCTGGTCTACTGAAGACTTCCATTATGTCCTGTTCGGCCGCAACCAAACGCGTTGTCATTGCTTCGAAGTCAAGGTTGCGTGAATTGATTCCCTGACGAAAAACGAGAGATTAGATTTCGGCATGATAGGCAGATATGACTTTTCAGTGCTCTGTGACGGCAGGTAAGCTAAAAGTATGACCAGACAGCTTGGTTTCTAAGTGATGGAACCAATCAATCAAATTTGTCTCCACAGTTCTTTACAAAGACAGCATTAAGCAAGACCTTCAGGTTAGACCAGGGTAACTCGTAAAAAATACTTGGTCTCCATCATGATGACTTCACTTGAAAATGAAGTGAAATTGCGCTTTTTCAAGGATAGCACCGTAATTCACTGTACACAAGGCAACAAGTCAGAATGCTAGTGCTAACAGTGGATCATTATTTAGCAAGGAATGGATCGAATAAAAAAGTCTGCCCACGAAGCGTTCGACGATAGCAACAACAATAGTAGGTGGGGTGGTTAAGGGAAGGGGCGTGATCCAAAGGCAGGAAAACCTTGAAAAGACGACTGCAGCATCCCTTAATTTCCATTCAGTCGGGTTCTCAGGAAGAAGGCGAAACCGATTTTTGAAGCTTCCGAGTGACAAGCCCTGACATTCGCATAAACAAAATCTACAGGTTAATTGTTAATTTCATGCTTGACGTTCCCATCGCAATGACCAGAGAGCTTAAACATCTTTGAGTCCAAATGAGTTCTACGTGGACCCGATGCCTGTAACCTAGTATTGAGAATTCTTCAGCTTACCACATTTTATGAGGTACGTTCAGTATCCAGACAAGCCCTCAGAAATTACGCCCAAATAGGATTATTCGAAAGTTTCTGTGAACAGAAAATCAATCACGTCTCTGGAATGACCGTTGTGATGAGCAGTGCTTGAGTGTTGAGGTTTGATAAATCATTATGAACAAAAATGTCTGCTGGGTGGCGCTTACCTGTTTTAGAGGATGTAAAAATGGTGGGTGAAACCAAATGTTTGATCCGAGCATTCGATGTCAAAGACACCGTCTACGTGGGTACCAAACATAGGGATGTCTAATTGGTGGAATGCATCAACGACCTAGGTTCCCAAATCTCGACAACACCATAAGGAAACCATGATGCACTTCGTGTAATCCACCAAAATGGTATCAGGATTGAGAACTTCAAATTCACAATCAGGCGTAGTCCAGTGGTACAGAACAGGATCGATGAAAATGTTAAGTGAGCTGTGACTACAAACAGCGGTGAAACCCAATTAAACGAGGAGAACATCTGCTCCCCATGTTTGAAACTTGTTGCCCTTAATGAGTAATTCCAATTTGACCACGGGAGGAGCTTTAGGTCTGTCGAACGAGCAAACTGACTAACCTTTAATGTTTCTTCAATCAGAATCTCCATGCAAGTGGTGTGACCTTTACTGTTGATCAGTGCATCTGCTATACTTTTCATCATGGCCGTGTTTCTTTCGGCACAGTTAATACGAAAGCGTTCCAGCAAAGTGGCTTCCAGCTGTTGATGAGCGACTGTAGAACAGTCAACATTAGTGCAAAAATTGGTTTACCGGTCACTCTTTGTTTAGCCGAAAGAAAACGTTCGTCGTCTGGCAACTCGAAACACAATGAGTTGAGGTTTTTTATTCGTTTCGCAGCCTCAAGTAGCTAGAAGCGGAATTGAAAAATAGGATTTGTGAGAGACGGAAGTACAAAGTACATGGTTGCCACCACATCGAGAAATACGATTTAAATCATGCACAGAAGCTATTGAGGGACCACCAGAGTGTCGGAGAACCGGATACTACGGACCACCAGTGCTACTTGGGAGGACCCCGGCTTGGACACATTTTAGAAGCCCCACAAACAAAGTATGAGACAAAAGTAATTACCCCGGGACTAAATCTCATCTGAAAATTACAAAAAATCTCGCACTACCACCCATCTATAAATGGCTCACAAGAGTGAAAATCCCATCCCAGAAGTTGCCACTCGAGGAACCAGTCAATATGTGACCATGTGTCATAGTTTCTGTAACTGTGGAAGATGAGCACCGCTATATTCAGTCTAAGTGAAAGCCAATCACACTGCTGTTCAGCCGCTCGAGATTGAGTGGTTAGGTGTTGAACCACTGGCCACGAAGGTGCAGGCTTGAGGTACGCCCTGCCGATGATTCGCAATAAGGATGAAACAGCAGTACAGTGATTCCCAGCTGTTCACCATGGATTGGCCTCGGTTGAAAATTATAAAACCTCCCTCATTATAACCGATTATCTCAGCGCTTAATAATACAGTGATCCGTAAACGAATGGACCACCTGAGGAGGAATTTATCCCGATAAGGTAAATGCCATTTGGTGGAACTTACCTGAGTTTCATCACCTTGAAGGTTTACAGCAACGTTCGCAAAAGTGCCACCACCAGCACCCAGAAATTTGTAAAATTCCAAGATAAGATCTCGAGCCTCTTCAATGCGTTTCCTGGGTAAATTTTTGCGCTCCAACTGATCACCCAGATGGGCCAATTTCCCTGAAACCATGTGAACTTGTGTATCTAGCTTTGAGAACTGGTCGTGTAGTTCCGTTAATTCTTTACGAAGCCGTTCGATTGTGATTCGAAAAGAACGTTCATCAAGTCGACACTTAGCCTGTCATCAATGGAAAACGTGATTGTCATAAGTCAATGAATTTTGATTAGAGATGACAAGAAGTCAACAAAAAAACTAGATTGTACGAGGCTACACTATGTCGACGAAAGCCAACAAACTTCCCTTGACAAATCCAATAGCATTCATATAAACTCGTACGAGTCTGCCTACAGTGTATTAATACAGTACTAATCACACGACGTTCTCTTTAACGGAGACTACACGACTATCAGCCAACAAGCCTGAGAGTATGTTCGGTGAACCCGAATTGTCCAAATTCATCGTCAAACGATAGCGCCCTGAAGTCCTCTGCTATGTGGAATTATTAGTGATTAAGTAATTCCCGTTATTTTCACTTTTGTTAGTAACAAAGCCGTAACAGTATTGGAGGTGCACGAAACGACTACAGAAGTAACGGTTTCTATCGGTACTTTATTTGCTTTTGCTCCTGGGAAGTGGGATTTTTACATCAACAGTGAATAAGTACAAAGTGTTAGCTTGACTGCCAGGAGGTCTAGTAGAAAAATTCCACTGACTGGACGTGAAGTTGGACCGCAGTGCAACACCAGTCATCTCGGTGGGATTTTACCGTTATGCAACTGATGAACTGCATTCAGAATTACTTCTCAGCCGAAATGAAACAGGATTCAAAGTTCACTTTCTGAGACCGTTAACATAACATCCATGGCCGAAAAAACAAGAATGGATAGTGAATATAGCAGTAAATATTCTAGCTAATCGTACTCTCTGGGGTATACTAAAACAGATGATATGATGGAAAGATCAACATTGATCACTACTGGATTTAGAATATCGAGCAAAATTCAACCGTTTATCAGTATCTGTTTAGGTTTACCGCTTGACCCCACAGAAGTGCAAGGTTGCCTGAGCCTACAGAGGACCTAGACTACTGGCAACCATGTGCGTGGGACTGGTTCTGAACTTGGAAGCCAAACCTAATTCACAATCGCATAACACGTGAACGGACGAAGAGTTCGTGCAATTTTTTGCAGAAGGGAAAGATGAATTCAGATAGGCCAAGCAGGTGGTTAGTTACGGTGAAATTGCCATTTACACCTAAATCAGGCGCACATTTCAATTTGCTGTCAGGTTAGGTAGTGCTAATTATGTGAGATATTATTCTACAGTAGGCTGTGCTCCAGAATGCACAAACACAGGTTTGTTCTAAAAGCGTCAGGTATGAGAAGGCGGATCAATGCAGTAATAAAGTGTCACAGAGAACACGTTTTTGGTGCGGCAAGTAACGTCCTAATTGTATGGAGAATCCAATCATACTTAGAGACCCCATGTATCAAGTGAAAGAAATTGCTCCTATCAGAATCGGCAGCATTCAGTTTAACCAAACTAGCGAAGCGTTCTCGAGATATCGGTCCTAACAAAGAATATGACCCCATGTATCAAGTGAAAGAAATTGCTCCTATCAGAATCGGCAGCATTCAGTTTAACCAAACTAGCGAAGCGTTCTCGAGATATCGGTCCTAGCAAAGAATATACGAAACATCACAAACGAGAGATTCAGCTGGGTTTCAGGTGAACCTCTCGCAAAACCAAATCCGTTTGCAAATGAATATATTTCGCTAATATACGATGTTTATAAGAACAAGCCACGAATTGAAGCAGTCGTGCCTCATAAAACGCTAATAGCCACATTATCCAAGCGTACAATGGTTTTACAGCCGTCAGAAATGGAGACTTAAAAAACCGAATGACAAGGAACTGTCGTCGGTTGATATAATATACACTATCCTTGCCATTTTAATACGAGGAAACCACTACTGGAATTTGTCAAAAAGGGAGTAAACTCCGGAAGGTGACGGTTATATTTATACCCTAATCAAATATTCCATTTGTTTAATATTCCCGTGATTTCATGTGCCTGTCCCACAGAAAAAGGTTGGAGAGGAACTCAAAATCTCCTGTACACACAGATCGGAATGTTTTAACCTTCAATGAACCGAGTGTAAAAAGTTGCTCCCGTTCATATAATGTCTTATACATAGCAATTCAGTAGTACTGAATTCGTCTACTACATACCATCACCGACCAAAACAGAAAAAGATGTCACTGTATGCGCACTGCAAACTGATTCCTAAATGCTAGTGACTATTTCTAACGTCTTAGATTCGAAATCCGCTTCCATCCTACTGTCAATGATCACAGCACATTTTTTCGGTAATAACAACTCTCCGTCTAGAAAAATGAACTGATTCCAACTGGCCCCGCCAGTCACCTTGGGAACATAAATGGGCGAACACTTATCTGCCAAGACTAGCAACAGCAGTTCCAAAACTACTTTTCGCTAATTCACCTTCCGGACGTTTACAGTCTGCACCTCTAGTGACCATGGTGTTGTAATTATTGGTGCTTCCTTAGTACGGCGTAGTGTCAGTTTCTAGCTAGCCTGTATCAATACATAAAACAATACGCCATTATGATAAAGCGTTGTGTAGATATTCATATACAACGTCTACGTTCAGAAGGGATTAATTTTTCGCAAAGTCACTAAACAGTTTGCTTGGACAAAAAATCGTAAGGAGAATCTCAGTTATGACAGGAACTGGTTGGGACTCGAACATTGTCATAGGAACCCGCGTATCCCAAAATGGAAAAGAAAAGATGAACTCTCTTTAATGGGATTTGGGGACACCGGTGAACACTCAATTGCCGGATGAGTATTCTAACAATGAAGATATTGTTAATTCCGCCGTACTTCGCACACATGAACTCAAGTATGCCTCTCTGTGTAATGAAACCTTCTAGCGCTATTAGTGACTTCCACAACGAGGTGATATCCCCCCTGATACCCTAATAACTTTGATTCGAACTGACATGAAAGAGATGAGGATTTGGTGCCCGGTGCACATGGTTGAAACGAAAATCTAAAAGCTCTTGGATTCACCCAATAGACAGGGAGTCATGGGTTCGATTCTCATCCAAGGCGTTGACATTTTCGCCGGCATTATCTGTAGCTGGTCATCATCATCATCATCATCGACAGCATGACATCAGTGTTCAACACCGATGCTTCACTGCCGTACAACCATGACTTATTTGAAAGCCTTATTGT